GTCGTTTTGAACCATGCTCTCACAAGTTCCGAGGTTTACCCCAAGGTCGATCAAATTATGGTCGGGACCGCTATAATTACGGGCACTCATCGTCTACTTACAACCCAGGCGGTTACCGCAGAGGACGTAACTGGGGCAAGCATACCCAATCCAGGCTGGCAGAATCAAGCCGTGTGTTTCCAAATGTGTTTCGGTACCTTCTTCTTGCTTTAGTATCTGATTGTCCAGTGATTGCCGGACACTTGACATATTTCCAAAATAACTGGTCCCAGATTACTTCGGACAGATGGATATTGCAGACAATTTCTGGTTGTCAGAGTATTTCGTTGAAGAACCTGTTCAGCTTTGCAGGCCTCCCAAAATATCTTTTTCCAATGAGGAAAAGTGTATTATCCACAAGGAAATTGAAGCTCTCCTAACTAAAGGGGCCATCCACCATTCTGAATGCAAGTTTGTGTCAAACGTTTTTGTTATTCCGAAGAAATCCAGAGGCCTGAGACCTGTTATAAATTTGAGAGATCTCAATAAATATGTTCGGTACGAATGCTTCAAAAATCTTATGCAGAGCAATGATTTACTCACTTCAATTGAACTGAAAGATGCTTATTTTTCAATACCGATCTGTTCAGAAAATCATGGTTATCTGACACTTTATTGGGAAAATGAATGCTTTGCGATTACTTGCTTACCCCTTGGGCTAAGTTCCGCCCCTTCGCATTTTTTACCAAAATAATGAAACCAGCCCTAGCCGTGGCTAGAAGTGAAGGAATTCCTCTGGTTATCTTCCTGGACGACATCCTAATCATGGCATCCTCAGTTGACCAAAGTTTGAGACATACCATATTTTGGTGCATTTACTAGAATCGTTGGGTTTCATCATCAATGCGAAGAAATCTTGCCTAAATTATCAAACCAGCATATCTCATCTTGGCTTTGAATTCGATTCAACTGCCATGACCCTCAAGGTTCCAGAATCGAAGATTGCAAAGTTACAATCAGAAGTTTATCGATTACTCTCGAAAAATGTTGTCCCCATACACGATCTCGTCAGAGTCACAGGCGTGATCATTTAAATTTTTGACGCTTTTCCTACAGGAAAGTTACATTTTCGCCAACTGGAATATGCTACGATTCATGCTCTTCCAAAAGAGCAAGGCAGTTTTAATGGAGGTATTGCTATAAGCTTCGCCATGGGTGGTTAAATCTCTCTCATAAGGATGAAAAGTCAGCTATCAAAATTCCTCTCACTGACTTGATTATTTCTGCAGATGCCAGCAAGACAGGCTGAGGAGCTATCTGCGAAATAGACGGTTCATTTGCACAGGGTAAGTGGACAGCTTCCGAGCAAGATTTCCAAATCAACAGGCTGGAATTAACTGCAATATACAAAGCACTGTGCTCTGCATGCAGTAGTCTCAATGCAGTTCACATCCTGATCAAGTCAACAGTTTAATACCTTTCTAACATGGGAGGATCTGTAAGCCCCTTGAATGGCATCACATTATCTATATTTGAGTGGGGTGCCGAAAGAAAAGCGGGCGTAGGTAACTTTCTGGCAGGTTCTCTTTCTTGTAAAGGACTCAATAAAGAAATGAGCATGCAGTCGGACATATTTGCTGCTATTGTTCAGAAAACAATCAGACCCCATATTGATCTTTAAATTTGCTTCACACACCAATCATAAACTAGAACACTAGTGTTTCCTGGAAAGCAAATCCCCATGCATGGAGAGATGATTCTTTTTAATTGTCAGAGGCGAATATGATACCATATTTCCTCCTTTCCTCCTAGAATTTTAGACAAGATAGCCGCAGACATGGCACGGGTATGCCTTGTCATTGCTCCAATCTGGGGAGCCCAACCCTTGTTCCCCCAGTTGCTTCAGATGTTGATCGCTCGCCCACTCATCCTACCACCGGAATGTCAGCTACCCCCGCACCAGTTCCAACCCCAAGTACTGAACCTACGTTTAGCGCGTGGCTCATCTCAAGCAACGCTGGCAAACAAGAGGCATTTCATCGGCAGACGGTTCCACTCTCCTTGCCAGATCATGGAGGATGCGTACTGAAAAACAGTACGTGTCAGCATGGAACTGTGGGGCTAATTGGTGTTGTTCACAACAAACTGATCTATTCTCTCCCGATTTAGCGGAAGTCATTTTTCTAGCTCATGAGCACTCACAAGGGAAATCGTACGCCTCCATAAACACAGATCGGCGCTTTCGTCTATATTACCGACAATATTAACGGAGGGTCATGTTGCTGGTCAACACCCGGTGGTGATAAGACTGCTTAAACGTGTACATGTATTTAATTTAACGCCACCCATGCCTTAGTATTCCAAGATGTGGAAAGTCTCCACAGTTGTAGATTATTTCAGTTCCTTGCCAGATAACACAGAACTAACACTTTTCAGTTTGCGCCAAAAGCCTTTAACTTTAATGGCTCTTGTCTCTGCCCAAACGCTCGCAAACTCTGCCGTATCTTGATTTGAGGTATTTTAATTTCCTTGAAAGCTCGTGTCATAACTATTATGGACATCTTGAAAAGTACCTACCCAAAGAAGGGTAGAGGGCATAGCAAAACAGTTATTCCTAGATTTGAAGAGAACATGACGTTGTGAGTTACTAAAAGACTATTTACACCACACAGATGACCTTAGAGTTCAAAGCAGTGAGACAAAATTGTTTCTGTCAACAAGAACACCGCAATAAGACAGTAACGTCCTCAACCTTAGCTGGGTGGATGAAGTGTGTGTTACGGTAAGCAGGCATATAGATGCTACGATTTATTCCGCACACAGCTTTTCGCAGTGCATCAACTTCTAAAGCATTCGCCCAAGGGGTAACTCTGCAGGAAATCTTAAAAACGGCAGACTGGACGAATGTCAATGCCGTTGCTCATTTCCATCTAAGAGCGATGGAAGAACCATCCTTTGGAAAAACAGTTCTGGGTTGTAATGCGCAAGGCTGATGAACCGCACTGATATAATTAGCTAGTGCCACCACGGCAATATGATGTTTGGACTTCATTTTGTCGTTTATTACGCTCTCCTTCACCTTTGAACATGCAAACCCTCTAGTGACTTGTACGAATGTTATGTAATGGCATTCCTTAATTCTGTGAATGTATTAATTAAATATAATTGAAATTCTATGAATAATAATCAAGTACAAGTCGAAGAGGGTTCCCACTTCTTTTCAGCTAGGCTAGGTTTTCCCACCTAGGGTCTACTGACTACTGGCTTCTTTCTTTGCCACTTGAAAAGATGCCTCATACCTTCCTGCCTTGGCTATATACCGGGGCCGTACACATTGACTTATTTGAACATCAATAAAAGCTTTGAATATATTATATGGTCCGCATGTCCATCACGTGGAAAGGAATGCGTACCCTCTTCGACTTGTACTTCATTATTATTCATAGATTTCAATTATATTTCCACTTTCATATAATTTAGAAACGAGGGTGCACGCGCATAAAAGTACATACACGTGGCCTCAAACACTGTGCATACAGAAAACAAGGCGTGACTGAAACGTGGTCGTCATTGTGCAATATCATATACATGTGTGACTCACTGCGTGTGACCATTGATCGTAAGTTTTCCTAACTTTAAAAAAGAATCCTATCTCCCCTCAAATCATATTAGTCTATCTACCCTATCTAACTGGTCTACAGATAATGCTGCCTCAGTTCAGGATGTGGAAATCATGAAACAGTAACGAGAAGCAGTCGCAAACATGGCAAATTTGGGTGTATTTTGGGAGAGAAAGTCTCACCCATGGTGATAGCCCCACTAGTGTGGCACGGACTCCGCACTCCTGCTCCATCCTAAGGATGAAAACTGTTTTTATTTTAGAAGCTTTACAAAGTCATCAGTCAGAAAGAAGGATCAGTCCTACCTGTTGATTGTCGTCAGTCAACCATATTGAGTGAAGAGCCGTATAACAGTACCTAAGGGCTGGTTCATACTTCGTGCAAATGCAAAAGCGACGCGAATTTGACGTCAAGCTAGAGACCAACTTCAAATGCGATTTTCTCGTGAGAAATTCGCCTCTTTGTGAAAACGGTGACGATGTCTCTAAATCCACTATTCAACAACCCAAGAACATAAACATGCATGATGGTTAACGAGTTGACTTCCTAAAATGCTGTGGTACATTTACATAAATAAATGCAAATGTATTACGCGGGGTTTCATATGAACCGTGTAATAGAGTTAGATACACCGTTTGATACCATGGATCGACCAACCAGAATTGAGAATTCAGGTTTGTCTCAAAATTGTTGACAGCTTTGGTGTGGGATATAACATTTTGAACACTAAAGGTACGCATAGCGCCCTTTGTCTTGAGGAATTTATCCAAAGAAACAAGCTCTGAATTTCCGAAGACAACAGGCCTACTGTCAAACAGTATAATTAACCTAAAAGACTTAGACAATATCGTCTGCAAATGCACTGTTCCCCAGAGTAGGCAAAAAGTCATGTTTTGCAAGTCCAACTCAAGTCACAAGTCAATTTTTGCAGGTCTAAGCCAAGTCACAACCCAATTTGGTCTTCCTTCATCCATCATCCAAGCACAAGCAAGTTGAAAGATGTGTGCTTTTAACCCACAGCCTGTAATCTTAGTTCCAAGATCTTCCATAGTCATTCCGCGATCTGCAAAACGAGCCGCACACTCAGGAAAGTTTTGGAAAATTTGTTTGACCATGGGCGGAAAGAGTGATCGGCCGAAGTAATGCAAAAGAACTTTTTTGTAGGACCAGTTTAACACTGTAATGGGGTTCGATCGAATAGTTTTCTAACTTGCGTTTTTAACAAGTCATAATGTGCAATTCCAAGTCAAGCCACAAGTCATTTTTTGCATGTCCAAGTCAAGTCACAAGTCAAAAACCGATAGTTACTAGTCAAGTCGCAAGTCACAAAAATAGCAACTCAAATCTGACTCAAATCCAAGTCAAACTACTCGAGTCTACAACTCTGCTGTTCCCTCACTTTCTTTAATTGCGTAAACTTTATTGTTAAACTGGTGCTGATACCAGTGAGTACATGTAGTCTGGTGGCGGTGCCTGCAATACTTTATAAGCTGTGGGGACGAGAACGAGACTGATCATTGATCGAATTCCCCGGTAGCCTATGCACAAAACGTATCATGGATACCAGGCAAAAGTGACTAATGGAGCGGAAATGTTCGCTTTCGAACTTCCCGAAGTTCTTCTGTCTCACGTTCGTACGCGTGCACGCACACGCACTATCAGCAGAACGAGATATCTCATGGTAAGTGTGCCATGTGGATATCGCCCTGTCAAGGGATTGTTCGTGGCCAATAAACAGACATTAACCAAGACATAGGTATATGGCAAAAGTATATGGCACAAATCCCCACTCGGTACGCTACTGGACTTTCCATAATGGCAATGTGTGCCTTTTCATCAAGTCTGCATAAAGACAACTGTAGTCAGCTGTTTTGTGGGAATCTTTCATCAGCTTAACCCTTATCACTGACGTTTCTACATGTGTTGACGCTGATTTTTAAGGTTTGGGAGCTATACAACAGAAGGTAAGTATGGAAAGAGGCCATGACCCGAGTGGATCGTGGAGCTGAAAGCTAAAATGTTGCAGCTGCAAAGGATTAAAAGTGTCTTGGCTCAAGGTTGAGTAGTATCTCACGTACCGGTCTCACCACCACGGTCAGGTAAGGTACGGGCTCCGGTTCCCCCTCCACCAGGCTCAGACAGAACCGCCGCAGGATCCTGGCGGTCAGCACCCGTAGCTGGTTGAGGGCAAACTGCTGTCCAATGCAGTTACGAGGCCCGGCCGAGAACGGCAGGTAGGCGAAGGGGTCCAGGCTGGCCATGTTCTCCGGCAGGAACCGGGACGGGTTGAACTCCATGTGGTCTTCGCCCCACACAGTGGGGTTGTGGTGAAGCTGGTAGAGGTTGATAGCTACCGTGGTCCCCGCTGGGAGCGTTACACCGTCCACATCGTATGGAGCAGTCAGGGTACGCGACGGCATGACAACTGTACTATACACTCGCAGAACCTCCTTGATTACCAACGTCGTGTACTCAAGACTTCCCAGATCCTTACTGAGAGGATACCAAAAATGATAGAATTTAAAAAAATACATGAGCATCAAAATAGGCTTGGTCACTGACAGCAAGAACCTGGCTTCTATACGTATTGGGTAGATTTTAATATTTCGTAACTGATTTTATGCAACATGCTGAAACCTGGAGGAAAGAAACAAAAAAAAATGGACTTCGTCAACAAATTCCTTGTCCATATTCACTATTAAAACCAGATGTTTTCCCGTCGTCTTACGTCCCCTCAAAACCAAAAAATGCTGCAGCGCTGTTATTACATTGTTCAGATGCCCATTACAATACCTTACAGGTACACTTCCCATAGCGGCAGTTTTTTTTAAGAGCCTCTTTATTACACAACAGCGGATAGTCTGACCAGTTGTCAATAGATTCGCTGTGTTCACTGTGTTACATTTACATCATATGAGGAGACCATGGGCACATGCACTGTAAACCTCCGTGTTTTGTTTTTATATAATTACTGACTTCGAGTTCCGAGGATAAGTCCGAAATTTAAGCTCATGCGTCTATCGGTAACGCAAGAAGCCTTTGGCGGACGACTACTACGCGTGTGCCTGTAATTGCCGCATGTAGCCACGTATTTCGGACACGGCTTCATCTAAACCGACAACAGAGCTAGTGGACAATCGAGGTAAGAATTATCCCAGTGTCATTGAGTTTTCCCCTTTTGAATTCTGTAATAATTTAGGGCAACTGGAGTGTGTCATAAAGCAAGCTATGCATCATTCCCTTACCATAGAGAAAACACACTACGCAGCAACTGTTTTGACCGAGTAAAGGCTTAACACATTGCGCTAATTCATGCTCCAAATTTTATAAAGTAAATTTTATTTCAACTCAAGCTACAAATTTTATGTGACGCTGAAGTCGATTCGCTCATACATATGTATCTTGTGACCCTTTTGCCTGTTTCGGTCTCGACTTCGATAGCCGTGGTCTCGGTCTTTGTCTCTGTGCTCTTTGGTCTCGATATTATGGCTGGTCTTGAGTCGAGACACGCAAAAAAGTCTTGTAGTATCCTACTGGAGCGATACTTAGAGGCACCCACCTGGATAACTGATCGCAATCCCTGTCTACCAGCAATTTGTCAATTTCCTCCCTGACCCGAGCCTGGTGCTCAGGGTGCTTGGCCATCATATATAGCACCCACGTCAAGGTGCTGGAGGTGGTGTCGTGCCCGCCGAATAGGAAAGTGTTGACTTCGTCGGCGATCTCGCGCTCCGTGAGGCCGCTGCCATCTTTGTCGCGGGCAAGGAGAAGGGTGTCCAAGAAATCACGGGGACTGGTCAAAGGGTCACCGCTCTGTTCCTGTCAATGTTGGAGCAGACGACAGAAACGAGAGATTTAGACTGATTTTGTGCCCATTTGTCGTTGGCTAAAAAAACATGATAAGGATTCATGTACCATGATTACATCCATTATCACAGCCCTTGTTATCAACGTGGAATCAACATGAAGAAAATATGATAAATCCTACACGTTATGCGAATATTAGCATTTTGGTATTCTTTAAAAGCTTTTTATCAGAGATGGAGGTCAGATCGGATACACCGTCTAAATTTGCCTTCAACTATACGTGACCTGGACATACTTTGACTCATGACGGCGGTGTTGGTTTAATCGTTGTGAAGCACAAAGTCATGACACCCTTTTGCTGTACTTACAATACAACGACCAATATTTAACCAAGGTAAGAAAACGTTTTATCACGCGATCACACTCTAGCTGTGCTGAATTTTCCACTTTTTGTTGAACACCAGATTTTCGATAATTCATTTTTGGGATCGTGTACTCGAAGTTGAAATGCACTGAAAACCTAAATGAATTGCATTCTAAAACATTGTGGTTTTACAAGAAAGTTGAAAGGCAGACAAACGGACCCAAAATGTCGCCATTCATTGGCTTTCTTTCTGCGTACTGATTGACCCTATCTTTTTACCGCCGCACTCTACGGCGTCTAGATCGTTGCTCAACACTTTGAATGTCTAACACAAAAAATTTACATTTTCCGCTATTTATGTTTGCTTCATGGTCTCAAAATACAGGATTTATTCTGCCATTTTTCTCGATTTGTTCTGCGAATTCCCTTTCAAGCTGTCCTTCAGACTTTTCAACGATACCATAAAATTATTTCCTCAGTAAACTGCAATTCATAATAACATAGTAGGTCAAATATTCGAGAATTAGAATAGTTCACCAATACACGATATTATTTTAATTTTGCTATGGGCCTTAAGCTGGACAAAGAGAGGGCGCAATTTTCTCAGTAACGGAGGCCCTTTTGATCCGAATCGGACTTCGCTGGTTCACGAAAGACTAGGAAATGCACGGGTCACGGTCGTATCGCTACCAACAAAATGAATACCCCCGACCAACGCGCCTCAGTTCAACCGATGAGGGGGTGCTGCTCCTGGGGTGGATATATAGTTACCTTCAGCAGTTTATGCACACAAAAGGCTCTAATGATTACCCTTTTCTCCAGGTCGTCTTTCCTCTCGGCAATGAGCCCGTCCCCGAACATTTTGGCATAGCGTGCAGCCTTCTGCCACTTCGGATAATTGGGGCTGAAGAGGCGAAATACCAAAGGATTCAGGAACAGGGGGTTGCCGGTCATTCTGGACTGGACGATGTCGGTCATGGTGATAGTGGCTGACAGGAGGTCCATATCTCCATCCCTTGCCTGACCTTTCAGCTAAACAAACATAGCCACCCAAATATGTTCAAGAAAAAATGAGGCCTCATCTCAAACATCTGGGTACACCAAATAAAAGGTTGGCTCTCGAAATGACGTGATAGCACCAAGGTGTGACGTCATTTTGTACAAGGAAGTGTAGTGCGAACCAACTGAGCACACGTGCGTTGGTTCACGCACTGGCTCTTACGCTTTCTTGTACAAGTGACGTAATCATTTGAAGTGATTACGTCACGCGCACAAGTTGAATAAGCGCGTTAGAACAGGAAGTCTGGGGTTTTACAATAAGACGGGAGGGATCATAGAAATGTTTCTCCGGTTCGGGGTATTTCTTTCACAAAAAGCCCAAATTGCAGGCCTATTTTGGATTGAGGCGGGCTGCTACATTCAGAGCTGAGCGCATAGTTTTACTACTATTTTGAGGGCGTTTTTTGGGAAGAGGTGAATAAAAAATTTTTCCGTGGCTAACCCCCGTAAAATTGAAGCGAAAAGTGATCTTCTTGCCATAATCTAGAATTTCAGCGAAAAAAATGGAGGCCAACCTCTTCACGATAGTCGACAGGCGGCGCTATTTCGCTCTGAGCGTACGTATTTGGTGTAGTGCAACCAGAACTTCCAGCGCGTGAACTAACACGTGTCGTGTGTCCCATTCGATGCCGCAATCTTGCTGGACCGCTATGTGTTGTGATGGCAATGAGTGCATCATGTTGTGATGGCAATCTTCTTATTCAAGATAAACTAGTCAAGCACGCAGCGTTCGCACGTGCGCGTCTACATGGTTGAAGCTGCCCGTAGGAATTATGCAATCAACGTGGCCAATGCAGTCCACACCGTGGTGATATTGTTTACATTTAGCGCAGTCCAGTCACGTGGGTAAAAAAAGGTCTATATGGTGTGCTTCTGACAAAAGATAAAAAGGAATATAACGACAAAAAGCCTTAATTCACGCCGCAATAGCTGAAAAAGATCCCTTATTTCTGGGCTGCGTTTGAGTCTATTTCTTCTCTTGGAGTTGCAGAGAAATCTGCCATACTTGAATGATAATGTCGAGTTGTTCACTTGCTTATAATGGGTCGTACTCATGGCTGTTCGGGCATCAGGAGTGCTTTTCATCCAAGCACCATGTCCAAACGCAACAATTAATAGAGCACATGCGCGATATGTAACGGGTTGATTGACTCTTTGACTTGGAGCCAAATTTCCGCCATTTTCAATCCCAAAAATTGATTTCTTTCAAAGGGGGTCATTCTTGTTCGAACTTTTCACTGGTGTAGGCCAACAAGCTACAGGAAGGGGCTAAGTGGATTGTGTACACTTTGGGAAAATAGTGAAAGTAGTTTTTTGGTAATTCAATTGTAAGTTCGTTTGTACCTCAAGACAAGGTTTCCCGAAAACAGGAGTAATTTTCCACTATTACGTTTCCACGTGGTACAGCCTAAAATTCAATGATCAGCGTACTAGGCCTAAACAATCACTACATTATTCATAGTGAAGGATATGATCCTACCTGACAGTTCGACTCGCGGGAGCAGGCGGTACGGAGAATGATGTCGAAGGTGCACAGTCCGAGCTCGTGCTCAACTTTCATGGGCTTCCCCTCAGCCGCCAGCCGGTCCATTTTGCTGAGCAGCACGTCGACGCACTCGTTGTAGACCGGGACGTAGGTGCGGAGGACGTCGAAGTAGAAGGACCCGTTCAGAAGGCGACGGTGGCGCTTCCACTTGGCGCCGTCAGAGATAGCCAGCCCGTCCCCAAGCCAGTCGCCGAAAAACTGGTACAGCGGCGACTTGACGGAGCCGGTGCGACTCGTCAGCAGGGGCTTGATGGTGTCTGGGTGGACCAGCGTAGGCATGGGGATGGGACCGTTCCACAAGGTGTAGACACGGGGGAAGGCAGCCACCGTGTCTCGCAGGCATTGGAATCCAGGATCGAACGGGCCCTGGGGTTGGTGGCCTGCCAGAGAATGTGCTCCAGATGGGCACGGCAGCTTACTGACGGCATGACGGAGCTGCAGCGTGCCGGTAAAAAGTAAGGCAATTTTAAGCAGGCCGAAAGCCGTGACAGCGTAGATAATACTAGCCACTACCCACAACATGCCAGACTAGAGGGGTATAAAATTGCGTAAAGGGGAGAGAAAAATTTTCTGATTGGACACCAAGCTTGCAATGCACAATGAAGTCGATGTAAGAAGGCAGGAGACGGTAGACAATGACGTCAAGACAGCTCCAGTACAACTTGGCCTCCACGCACAGTCACTCCGACTTGATTGATTTAACAGGTTTTAGGTCACTTGCCAATAGATAAAAAGGGCACAGCCTGCGCTGGCGCGTGCAGGCTGATTACACGCGTTTCTCTTATCGTGATGTTCGAGTGCAGTACAAACAAATCACAACCTTGTCCCGTTGAGGCGCATACGTAATGCACGCTCCGCCTGCCTGTTGATACCTATCCAGCCAGTGGTGCACCTATAGGGGTAGGCATGAGGGCAAGGGTACGCTCCCCGCCGAGGCCTTTGCCGTACGCCATAGTTCCAGGGTCAAAGCCACTGACCCGCTCATACTTAAACATTGCCCTGGTGAGAGCAAATTAGCTGACCTCACACCGTTAAATCCTATTTAAAAACACACTTAACATTGTTGATGTGCATAGAATGATGAGTCGCGTACGAGCTTGCGTGGAGGTTAGTAAAAGTGTTCCAACATACTGAAATGATGATAATCACCATAAGGTAAGCAGCATGAGCCTCGAGTTGCAGCCCAGCAGCGAGAGCAATGCCAAGGTCCCGAAAACACACGAGAATAGCACGCGCATGTCCAATCTCGATTGTCTACATTTCAAGCACGCCTCACTAGAAATAATCCAAATGACAATTTGCACTATATGTGACACTGGTTTTGGCGAGTTTGTTCCAAAACACAAGGTAGGCCTAATCCCTCCTCATTCTTCCTAATTCAAATTTGCACCGGGAGTATTTTTGGAGGCTAGGTTTTGCTTCAAGTTTCTCATTTAGCTCTTATACGCTCTTACAAGCTGAGGCAGAGCATTATATATACTGACAATTATTTGATCCTGGAAATTCTCAAATCGCAGGCTGTACAAAATTTCATTTCAAATATGGTGTTTTATTTCTCTATGACAGGATTAACATGAGACAAAAGAGCATTGTGGTGCGACAACATAGTGAACCAGCATAAAGTCTCCAATTCAAAGCCTCATGAAGGTCAGGACGGAAGGAAAATAAAAGGAAGGAAAAGGCAAACGATCACAGAACGACTACCCAGTTAAACACCATGTCACATGTCAACTAGCACAACGCCATCAGCGTTGTTTGAATACGTAGCAATGCAGCAAGGTTGAAATATGTGACGAGTGGTTTGTTTACGTGTAGGCCCTATGTGTAATTTTCAAGGCATGACCAAGGCCAAATACGGTATTAACACGGTAGCCACGTAATCACTGGCTTCACAATAATTATGCAAAAAAAGTGTGACCAATGCGGCGGAAACCATTTCTTCATTGCAGTGGCATTGTCAGTGGTTTCACTATATACATCACGACGACGCCGAGAAATTTATTCAAATTAATTAACATCCCCAAGAAGCATCCATATGCTGTGTTGACGTATTTAAATGGTGTTTTTGAACATTTAGAAAAAAGCTTATGTCAGGATTGTTTTTGCTGATTTTTCTAGTGCATTTAATACGATCCATCCAGCCACATCTCCTGGTCCAAATATTGCTTGACGTAGAAGTCAATTTCAACATTATTCTTTGGATGAATTATTTTCTTACTCACTGAGAGCAGCGGGTACGGATTAATTCTACTGTTCCGCCTAAGTTAGTTACAGTTACAGGCTGGTCCCACAGGGGTGTGTGCTGCCACTCATGCTGTATATTATCTACACTTACGATTGTACAATACGGGCGATTCACAATAGTGCCCCTCGAAGAGTTTGCAACGCGTTGGCCAATCACAACGCGCGAAATTTGTCAACCCTTTCCAAACGCGCTTTGGGTCGACAAATGTCGCGCATTGTGATTGGCTAACGCGTTGCAAACTCTTGGACGCGCACTATTGTGAAACGCCCGTATTCACCAGGAAAATCGAATGAATGAAATGCTCGAATGCGCTGATGATACATCTATTGTTGGTCGTTCGTATTCAAACGATTATTCCCTGCAGTGCTTCAATCAGGAAATGTATGTTTTTGTTAAGTGGTGTAAAGAAAATTATCTTTAAATAAATGTGAATAAAATTAAAGAGCTAGTGGTTGGTTTCAGACAAAAGAGGGATTCAGTTCCGGAAATTACAATAAATGGTCATTGATTGGGCAGACTCGATCTCTCAATATAAATACTAAGGCACTGTTATAGGTGAGAAACTGAAATTTTTCAAAAGCACCAAATTTAGATCGGTGAACTCCAGCAAAGATTATTCTTCCTGCGTAAGCTGCTAAACAATATTGGCGTCCATACAATGCAGTGGCGTAGCCGGGGGCGTGCCCCCAGCCCCCCCCCCCTCCCCAATTTCCCGGTGCCCAGGTGCCTTCCCCAACTGAAAAACACGGAGAAATGAATATTGAACAAGGCTAACAAAAACTTGCCCGCCTCCAAAAAAAAAACCCAAACAAACAAACACTGAAAGCTGGTGCCCCTTTTTCCCCCCACCAGTAAAGTCCTACCTACGCCACTGATCCAATGGGAAGCCAGTCTAAAAGGAATTGATCGAACGGTCATTGAACGCGTCACGGAAATGCCCAACTAAAAACAAGGACCTGCCGCATCACTCACCACCACATTTTTAACACCATCAGTCAGGGAGGAACATGGGGATATGACCATGTTAAATATTTCCAGTCTATTTGCAGTGTCTAAAAATTCTCCTTGATTACCCAGTTGGGACACTCTCTGCTCCACTGTCCCATTTCCACCCCGAGTATACCATAGATATTCAATAGTCTTTATCAGACCAACCTTGGCGTGACATTCCGATATAGCAACACAGAATACATGTAATTTAATTTACATGCAAGTTTTAACGCCCGATCCCGTCCACGGCAGCGTAACAGCACCCTCTCCAGTTCAGTGGCGCACACAAAAAAGCACACTCCAAAGGCAAAACTAGATTTTACTTCCACTGATACAACACAACAGGTGTGTATGTATTTATTTAGCACTGGACAGAATTAAGATCCGGACTCTTTATAAATCTGCTTAGGCTAGGCTTCAGAAAAGAAATTCTGCCTTCATTTTATTTGAGAACTTAATCATATCGTCACCATTTTCAAAGGCTGCAGCTTATGCTAAAGTTTTGAAAACTATTTGCAAAAATAGTGACGATATCATGTAGCCTCCCTCAAAGAATAACTTTCTGTCTACAAGTGAAATGTTAAAGACATTTCTCCATATTTTGTCACAGAACCCTTCAGAGGCCTGCTGCTGGGACAATACGACACCGTAGTAACAGTTTCCCTGGTCCAGCGTCTGAGGTGGAGGTTGATGCCCCCAGCTTACTTCAGCTTCTTCTTGGGGCGGAGGTTGTTGGAGTGGCCGCACTTCTTCTTGCGACAGTTTGTGGCGCGGGGGTGCAGCCGGGCGTAGCACCTGATCAGGGGTTGAAGGGAAGGGAACAAATTTTGAAACAGCACGTCTCTTACCTGGCCTAATGGCTCACAGGATGTGTTATGGTTGGGACCCCTAAGGACCATCACTAGACTTCACAAGTCCATCCAAGGACTTGACACATGTCCCTATCTGGATTAATGTCACAAGGTATTCAGACGAACTGCAAGAAATGCTCTTTCCTGTCGTTTGCCGTTACGTGTGACTTGTCTTGCACCTGGACTTGTGATGGTCTAAAACTACAGCACTGCTCACTGAAGCTTAGGCTCATGCTAAAAGATCCGTGTAGGAGGAGTTCTTTTTTCAGACTTCAGATGACAAATAAAAGCAGAAGCCATTACGCTGATAAGCTCGCACATAGGAGAAACACTGCAAAAAAGCCTCTTCCGTATTTAAGGTGTTGTACCTTGCCAAAAATCAAGCACGCTTCCAGATTAGGGTATGAGCGACATGTACGTGTGATGCCACCAGCGGTCGGTAGCTCTTTTTCCAAATGACACCTGAACTGTTTCAGTTCCATCCCAAAGAGATGGAAATACTATTGGATTTGCTCGTCAACTGAGAGGCCGACTCACTTGCGGCAGATCATCTTGTCGCAGTTGTACTTGCTGGCCAGGATCTTCAAGCTGGGCTCGATGATGCCACCCCGCAGACGCAGCACAAGATGGAGGGTCGATTCTGAAACAGGTGAGCAGAAATCAATAGGACTGGGAAATTTGTTAAGTCCAACACGAATGACAAATGATCCAAGTTGACTGTGTAATGAAGATAAACCACTGGCAGTGGATCAGTCATCATTTGTTTTTCATGCCTGGTGGACATGCCTCGAGGACATGATTGGTGGGCATGCCTGGTGGACATGACTGGTGGACACGCCTAGTGGGCATGCCTGGAGGACATGACTGGTGGACATGCCTAGTGGGCATGACTGGTGGACATGACTGGTGGACATGCCCAGTGGGCATGCCTGGTGGACATGACTGGTGGATATGCCTGGAGGATACGATTGGTGGACATGCCTAGTGGACATGCCTCGTGGACATGCCTGATGGACATGCCTGGTGGACATGATTGCTGGACATGACTGGTAGACATGCCCGGTGGACATGCTTGGAGGACATGCCTGGTGGACAAGATTAGTGGACATGCCTGATAGACATGCCTGGTGGACATGATTGCTGGACATGCCTGGTGGACTTTACTTAGAGAGCGAAATAAATTGTACAGATACAGGTGCCTGGTACCTTTTTGGATGTTGTAATCTGACAGTGTGCGGCCGTCCTCAAGCTGCTTGCCGGCAAAGATCAAACGCTGCTGGTCGGGGGGAATTCCTGAAATCAGAGAGCACGCTCAGTGTCAGTGGACAGTTAACCACTTCATGGCAGACGACGCGCAAGCAGACAGAGATTTCCTGCTACGAAATATGGAGGATGCATAAATCCCCCCCCCCCCGGTGGATTGGGCACGCCGTGCCGAGTGGCATGTTTACTCGTCCCCATACTTGAGCGATTCCCACCGAGTTCTGAATACACACAGAGGCTCCAACTACGTAGCCTGTAGAGGTGGAGTATGCATAAGTCCTTCAAGCATAGTTTTGAACAAGTGCCGAAGTGTCGCATAAATCTAGCCTGAAAAGATCGATGTTGGTCAGCGCGTGTACAGTCCTGCTTTCCAAACCACTGTCATTACAGTATTTCGGTAGTTTGGAACCATGGTATGTTTGTCTGGCCAAATATAGTGCCACACCTGGGACAATCTCGTAGCAGAATAAGTGTGGAAGTGAAAATCAATCTGACTTTGTTTCACAGAAATGTTCATTTTCTGATTTTTTGGCAGGCACTTCCTTTTAAGTGTGCAATCAACGTACTACCAAATCAACATTGTCCACAAGTAGCATATGGACACTTCATTCCACTGATCGAGTCCACTTATTCGACAGAGCATGGGCAGGCACTTGGGCATAATGTGTGCATCATGAACATGTACGGTGCATTCAGCATCTGAGCAAAATAACCCATACAGCTGCACCAAGTTTACTACAGTGCATCAATTTCATTTTTTTTGCAAATATAACAAGTTCCCGGCCATTTGAAAAGTTCTCGGGCCAGAGAAGATTTGAACCAAGTGCTTCTGTTGGACTACTGAAGAATTGTTACGGATAAACCCTTAGTGGCAAGAGCAAATCAACTGGCTGCGGCTGAATCAACTGGCTGTGGTCATATCAACTAGCTGTGACCACATGGCTATGGCTATGGCCAAATCAAGTGGATGTGGCAAACAACTAACCGTGGCCAAATCAACTAGCTGTGACCAAATGGCTGTGAACAATTAGCTGTGACCAAACATACATCCCCATAAACCCCAAGATTTTTTTGAAGTACATGTGTGTGATTTTCAACCAACTATAAAGGCACGAATTCCATGCTAGAAATACCTAAGGCGTAAGGCAAGGGGATTGAGCACATGATTATCTGTACTCTGCCCTGTGACTGCAAGAGGCTGCCAATGCACAAAAACTCAGACAGGCTGTTACTCACCCTCCTTGTCTTGTATCTTGGCCTTGACATTCTCAATGGTGTCGGAAGGTTCTACCTCCAACGTAATGGTCTTGCCCGTCAGGGTCTTCACAAAGATCTGCATGGTGACTCGTTATTCTGAACAAAAAACACAGGGTCAAAGGAGAACAACTTTGCAGGTGTCATCTACCTCTCTGCTGCAGAAAACTATCACAACCGCACCACAAAAAAAACAAGAGTATATATACAAAATTTTCTTTCCGGTCTTTTTAAAAATAGGAGATGCAATGTGGTGTCAAACATATTTTTTTTCAGTTTTCATTCTCTGGTTCGAAAATAAAAATATAATAAAAAATATAAAATATGATAATATTTATATAAAAATATAAAATATAATAATATGAATAAATATATAATTATAAATATATAATATAATATAGTAAAAGAATATAAAAATAATAAAATGGAACTCCATTCAATACTTGTATTGAGGAATGAAAAACAGTTTCTATTTTATTTATTCACAGAAATAAGGACTGTAGCCTGCTAAATAGACCATGGCCAACACCAACAAGTATAACCACTAACTGCCAAGTGGATTTCTCTTGAACGAACCCACACGAACAACTCTCTGGTGGCTAATCTAATCTGTCAGGCAACCTTTATTGACGCCCGAGTACATGTATTCAACCCAGGCCTGCAGCCCTGTAAAAGAGAGCCCAGAATTGTGTGGTGTTCGTTCCAGTGAATGCCAGTAGTGTCATACGCAGCTGGGTTAGGGAGCAGCAGCGTTGTGTCCCTCATCAATGGTGCCCTGGAGCACTTTTGTCTGCAGTGCTAATCTGCAGGCGCGCTATGCCCAAAACAGTGATATACTGTTTCAAAACAATTCCAAGCAGCAGGTCCTTTGTTCCCAGTACAGTCTTTTGTTACACAGACCAGCTCTTTTGTCCGAAACCGGGCACCCTTACTCTGCGTATAAACACACGGTGCCCGAAACCAGGCACCCCGGCAGGAAGTGGTTAAGGAATTCTTCATTCGCAGAGTAAAAGGCCTTTTTACAAACAGCAGAGTAAAATGGCACACAAGCACAATGATTCAATTGTACACATTGAAGTTGAAGTCTCCTTTCTTGAGAACAAAGCAACACGAAATGAATGGAAATTGTTGACAACTTCTTGAGACCAAATCGACTATCGGATTGGCAGCTACGCGGAAACGGCACTGAAAATTGGCAACGAGTGGACATAGTCAGTGGGAAAGGGCAAAAAACTTCTAAGTCCAAAGAAGTCCAGGGTTGGCGGCTAGGCTGATACGATGGCAGAGTTGAAGCTCCCTCTTGTGGTCATCTTGACACAATGCATACTGCATACGTAACCTTGGGAAAAAGTTCCATATACCGTCATCACTTGACACCCCGTGCGCAAACCCCATGAGACTGGTCTATTTTCTCAGTAAACGACGTGATATTTTCTCTCCTTAATTGAACTTTTCTGAACATATTTTGCTTTCTGGTGGTTACTAAATCACTGCAGGGAAGAATTACTGGCGTTTGTATATATCTAACTCTTCGTGGCCTTTAACCTTGTAGCCGGCTCCGAAGTGGAAAGGGCGAGTAGCGGGGTATTCTGCAATTTCAGCTCACAAAATCCAGCGAATGTCTGATTATGCCCCGACATCCCAGGTTAACCTTTTCGATCAATCGGGACGGGGCCCAGTATATGACCAAGGAGTATACGTCGGGCCCTGTCTACATGTATCTGCAATTGTACCTTTTTCTGTCATTCGTTTTCCGATGGGAAAAACAAGATTACTGTTTCAACATCAAAAGGTCTTACTTAGGCCTACTGTGTTAAATACAAAACTGCAGTTATTACACATGCACCTACTGCCAACTGGAACTGAAGGAATGCATATGCGAAGAACAGGTACTGAAGGCCTAGCCTAGCCTACTTTGAAAACTCTAAGTCACTACTGTCACTCCGTTGCAATCCGTGATACTCTGTGTGACTTAGAGGAGACAAGGTTTACATGGCGTTGTAACGCAATGGAGTTTTGGAATCAAATTTTTGTGTTGAAATGGTTCACAGCCGTAACAAAGCTATTGAATCAAATTTCCCCTGTCTGCATACCTGCTTAATCTATACCTCCTAAAAAGGGGATAACAAAAGTTTCAGAGCATGAGACGGAGTATTTATGAAAAAAAATGAGATTTTTGCGCACCAATTTCTCGCTTCCACCCGCTGTCGCTCCATTCATGCCCTTGGTGTTTATCAGACTGCGCATGCGTTGAGCCCACCAATGACTGCCCTTGCTCCGCATCTTGGCTCAACCATTTTTGGTGGCGGGGAATAACACCGCACATGGCAAAGCACATGTTGCAGGTCTTGCCCGATGTGTGTTTCCAGGTCACAGCAGCAGCTATGACAGTCCCAGTATGAAAACACAAGATATCATCCCCTGCCCCCGAAAAAGGTCAAACCAAGCGCGGTCATTGGTGGGCTCAACACATGCACAGTCTGATAATAAGTACGAATAGCATGAACAGAGTGACAGTCAACGGGTGGAAGCGAGAAATTGGTGAGCAAAAATCCCATTTTTTAAAAAAATACGTAGTCTCATGCTTTTGTTAGATCCCTTTTTAAGGAGGTAGGCCTACGCAGGGGAAAATTTGATTTTCTTACAGCTGTTAACCATTTTACCATGTTCACTACAAAAATTTGATTCCAAATCTCCATTGCGTTACGATGGTATGTAAACCTTATCTCCTCTGCATGTAAGTCACACAAAGTATAACGGAGTTAGTTACTTAGAATGGGTTCTCGAAGCAAGCCCAGCCTACAACTAGTAGTACTACTACTAGTACAATCATGATGTACACGTACATGTACATGATACAGCCTACATCACGTAACCAGTCAGGTTTTTAACCACATTAACCACAGCTATATTACGACCTTATCGTATCTATTGTTTACGTACGTTACAATGATTCAAGTACTTTATAATACAAAAATTCAAACTACATGTATAAATGCCTTGAAAGTCCATAGAGTAATAGGAAATTTTCGATTTTCTTCTTCACACTGCCACCAATTTCTCGTTACCTCTACAAGTCTCACGTCGAAAAGACATGCCACTGTGTTGCAACTGGTGACCCGAATTTTTTTTCAGTTCAAATCGGATAGCGTCACGTAGGGTTACCAGCTAATATTTCGTGCCACACCGTGTAATCAAGAGGACGCCCTCGCTGGGTACCGGGCTACAGAGAAAGGATACAGAAGAAATAAGAAAATGACATGCTTTCGTATTCTCAAGCAGTTTAATTCATTCAAAGACCCAGATATTATCGATGACTTGACCTGTATCAGTCAAAAGAAAGTGTAAATCTTTAATTAATAAACATGATAGAGACGGGGAAAAAAGAATTACATGTCAAATAATAATTTTGCCCTTCTTCACAAAAGTAAGTGACTTCGGAACGGACATGACCGAATGAAAGTATTCTGCTTCCACATGCACACGTGACACTCACGACAGACCTACATGCTTGCCTACCGTACATTCAGTTGTACATGTATGATGTACATGTATATCCAATTTTTTTCGGTACTTTGGTTAACTGTCAGAATGGGGAATTGCCAGCTGTTGGTGATGTTCTTACATTCCATCATTAAAGAAAACTTTCAAAATCATATCTCGTCAATAAGTAATTAAAACAAAAGTTACAGTCGCCAAGGCGGTCTTTTTAGTAGGTTTTCAAATCGATCCCCCAGTGTGTGCTGTACAGAGTTCAAACTGAATGCAAATTCAGAAATTTTTTTTTTACTCTGTTGCATGTAATTACGTGCATTCTTCGGGGACGCCGCAGCAATTGGTGTCATGCAGCAAGCACTTCAACTTCAAAGTCAGGGTAAGTTTGGGGGAGTGACATGAAACGGAGACGTTGGCAATTAAGTATTAAAAAATACTAGCATGAAATTGAAGGCCATACAATTTGAAAAGGGCGATCACAAATTACTTATTTCTCTGTCATTAATTTACTTTCAAAATTTATACTCATAATTTGTCGATTTTTTCAAAGAATGTTTGAACAGTCATTGAGCATGGCAATGGCCAACAGAGGGCGCACTAAGATTAATTATGCAAAGTGGTAGTGTTGTACATACGTACGTACGTACCATGACATAGCTAACGTAGCGACGACGAAAAATCCAAGGGCTTTTGTGAACAAGGCACCTAGACTTGGTTGACTGGCAGAGCGGTGGATCCTCGTTTCCTTCCAACTCCCAACGCAAAACGAGGGAAATGATGGACTCTTTGGAGAAAGAAACAACTCATTTATAAGTTGGAGTACAGGTTTTGGAGTCTTCATGCGGAATTGTGGGAGGTAAGGTTTTTTTGTCGCTTGGTTTCATCCGAGGGACGAAAATTATTTTAGCCATCGCCAGAAATAGCCATGATAGCAGCTGATCCAAAAAAAGGCAAAATGGCGTCAGGAACATCCTAAATTTAATGGTTGAGGCAGGGAATTCCCATCTGCCCTCCGTGTAACCTCAGCACCGGTCACACGAAACACTGCACTTGCTTTGATAAATTTTTAAGATCCAGGATATTTGCAGAGCAAAATCGTTGTCTTTTGGAGCAGTTTGTTCCCAGACATACTTGTCTTTCAAGTTTCATATCATTGCTGTCAGCAGAGACCAGGTAAATAACCCTTGGAAGTTAAATTTGAATAAAATCTGGTGCACTGGGTTCCTTAAATTCACATCATGAGCATAACAATTTGAATTATCCACACTAAAGATGCTGTTGCAATACCTTGTCCTTCGGGCTAAGCTTTTGCTTAGCTACATAAGAGACACCTTACAACAATACACTGTTCTCAATGGATAAGAAGGGCACGGAGGAGCTAGTCCATTCCAGAGATGGTGGTTGCTATGCAAAAGCTTGCCCTGAATCAGCCTAAATCAGGAGGTACAGCAACAACTGTTAGGGAAGTCAAATTGTTACATGTATGTAAATGAGCAGTCAGGTACATGTAACTCAGTGTACTGTGGGCCTACCAGATTTCATTCAAAGTTAACTCGCAAAAGGCTTATTGGTTAGGAGGGATTGAAATTCTAGAACAAAAGGCACTGGATGGCTTATTGGTCAACATCCAAACATGATCAAATTTAATTTAAGGCTAGGCCTACGTACCAGCTTACCGTGACTTACATGTTTGCTGCTTTACAGTAACCGATAAAAAGGTGGCTTTAGTCCTAAAACTAAGTAAAAGTCGGAAAAAGTAAATGAATCAAAAATGAATAAAGCTCAATAGCCTGCTGGAAAAAAATCCATACTCATTGGTTACTTTCCCAGAACATGGAGGAGTATATTGTAGGCCTAACGTGCATGACAGTATAGTCACCAGGTCCCTAATTTCACCGCCTTCTGTCAAGTCTGATTGGTTTTCTCAGTAAGCGGCAAAATAAGGGACGTGGCGACTATACAATCACGCACATTAGGCCTATTTGTTTCTAAACACTTAGACTATTAGCATACATGTATCATTAGCCTTTTGCATAATAGTAAAGAGGCATTGTGGGAAGGAACAGGGACCCGTAATGTTTGCCCCTCGTTCCTTCCCACGATGCCTCTCATAGTTACTTACATTGTGCAAAATCACCCATGCTTAGCGATTTAAGGCTTATTTGAAATTGCCAGGAAGTTGAACACACTGTCTTTGACTTGGGAGATAAAGTTAGGATGATTTTGCGGACTATTCTACACAATCAAATACCAGTACAAGTCAGAAGCCACCATGATGACCGCATAAAGGGTGTAACAGAAAAGTAAATGAACTTTTATAACATTAACCCCCCTCCAAGAAAATGTTCTGTTTCAATTATCTATACAAGAACATGTACATGCAGATTGTACTCGTATGAGATTTCAAGACCAGAATAAGGCCCCAATGTATGGTTTTGCAGTGAGAGTTCCATATACAGACATCACTGATTTGCCTTTGCAGTACAGCAGCTACATGTAGTTTATTAGAAATGAGTGCCATGCGGATGCCACCTGACACCCTATGCGCAAACCCATTGAGATTGGTCTGAAAAATTCTAAGTGTTCTCTATTAAAGTAAACGACGTGGTATTTTCCCTCTTAAATGGAACTTTTCAGGACATGTTTTTGCTTTCTGACAGCTAATGGGTCGCTGTAGGGAATAATACTGGCATCCGTATGGAACTCTTACCGTTTATTGGCCATCACAGAGTACTGACATTTCTTAAAAAGTCAATTTAGCACTGAAAATGTTGGACCATTGAAGACCAATCTCATAGGGTTTATACGTACATGTACATGTACGGTGTCGCATGATGTCTGGATACAGAACTCTTCCCTTTTTTGCCCAAAACATGTTTGCATTTTAACCCTAACCCTACATAATACTACAAATTGCTATTTGTTGTAAAATGAAGTACTGAGCGCTGTCGCTTCTACATGTAAGAGGACAGACCGCATTGTTCTGTGAATCCATAAGATACAGTAGATAAGACAATGTACCATACAGTGCTGTGGCACTATGAACGCATGGCTTTATTGTTCTCTGTACGAGTAACAATGGAAGTAACCTAGCCAGAAGTAGTAATCTGTAGCGCTAGGTCCTTCAGGCTCAGACTATTAGTATTTTGTAGTACTGTGTAGTGTAAGCCAAACAATATCCATTTGTCATCCGGGCATTCTGTTCCTTTGAGGCAACAAATTGCTCAGAACCTAAGGAAGGGTGCCTGGAAACAATGTGGTCAAAACCTTAGCTCGGTGAAGGCTGAAAAAAATATTCTAGGATTTTGGTTTCTGATCAAAGTTGCCGAGTCATGTGCTGAATTGTGCCTGAATTCAGCCTCCGGGACATGCTCTCACGTTCAGCAGTAGAATGCAGCTATGCGATGTCACAAACTGAACCGTCAACTTGCAGTAACCGTGTGCTTGTGTATTATGTCAATTCTTGCGCTTGCTTCTTATGGCAATTGTCCAAACACATTGTTGAAAGCTTTCTTACTAGGGCTGTGCTGAATATCCGAATATTTGATCGATTATCAAATATTTATTTTCCAAAATTTGAATAGTGGAATGCCTACAAAATTTATGAAAATGAAGGGAGAATTTTTTGTGGTTTCAAATGAGACAAATCACACTATGGAGGCTTGTTTCAAGAAGACTCACATGAAAAGTGACAGAATAATGTATCTTACAGCAATTCAAAAGTAAATGACTCATTAAAAATTTAAAGGAATAGAAATTTTCTTCTGCTCTTCTGTTAAATCTTGCTAAGTCGTGGCTGGAGATACTGGGTGCCCCTAGACGTGAAAAGCTATAGACTTTATTCTCAGGGCTAGCCATGTTGAATTTGAAAGCGAGGCTAACTCTTCATTTTGAATGATGAGAGCACAAATAAAGCAATAAAATGAAATTTCATGACAAAATTGCACCTGTCTATTCTGATAATTAGTTTCAAATTTACGATTGAACACACAGAGTTGTACATTGCCAGATTCTGAAAATTATTGAAAGGGAGGCTTGCAATGCACAGAAGTATAAAACAGTCTGGTGCCATCTTAATCGACGGTTTGCAATATGTAAAACAGATTTGGTGAATAAGATCAAAAATGGCCTCCACGTGAATAGGGTCTTTACAGTGATTGTAATGGAAATTGGTGTGTGTTATTGCAGTTGATGTATGTGGTTTGTTCCTGAACACTCGGTCGGTCGGTTCAATTGAATTGAAGGTCAAATATTGGACTAGTGAATCATTCTAATTGACTCGGCCCTATTTCTTACATTGTTCTCTTCAAAATGACAGCTTGCCAGAAAGAGGAACTTCACCGAGAGTTCAAGTCCCATAACCATCTTTCAAACTTTAAATCTTTTAAAAGTGTGTTTCTCGTTGTAATATTTTTTGGGGGGTGGGTTTAACTGCAAATGATGTACTGTTCATTGTGCCTTTAACTGATGAGATTACCGTACGTGTTTACACATGAAACGTCACTACATGCTCTACCGGTGCACGAGTTATCAGTCGTCGTCTGATCTTTTCTTTGGCAAAGAACAAATTAACATGTAATTTCCAGCCTGTCTTCCTGTGATACATGCTTACATTCAGATTAGAGAGGTCTAAAAAAGTCATGGATGGCGCGCTCTCTACGGCGGCGTGCCTGGTGCTGCTGTTGATATGCGCCTGCGGTCGGCTGGCTTTGGCTGCGGGCTGCTCTGGCCTCCGGAGGGTGCTGCTGACTGACCTGGAAGGGACGGTTACCGACGGGTCGGGCTTCTACGACGAGAACGTCCACTGCGAATGGCTCATCGAAGGTACCTGTACAGTATGAGTATGCTGGGTCAGTCTTGGACCATTGCCACCAGGATTTCTTTCCTTTATTTACATTTTGAAAAATGCAGGTGCCGGTCACGCTGTGAACATGTTGATGCAAATTTATACTCTATGCACATTGTGCATAATGTACCGGTGTGCTCGTATTTATCATGTTAATTGCCTTCGTAGTCGACCACTACATGTCTGCATGGACAGGTGCATGTACATGAAGGAAATCCTGTGTGCAAGGTTGACACTGACTTATGTCCAATCAATTGTGTGCATAACAGTGTTGTAGTCGAGTACTTTCCGGGTACCAACGTTCTCCACAAAATACTGAACTGGGTAAGAGGGAATAAAGGCAGAGTGCACAGGCATTTGATGGTAAATGTGCAAAGGTAAGATAACTTCAGACCTCCCAGTTGTGTAAAATTTAAGTTTTAAGGAGAAAAGCACTCGGAAAGTACTCGGCCGAGTACTTTCT